TTCCCTTCCTGTGCCAGTGAAAATCAAATGAAATGCCCCTCACTATCTCATTTGAAAAACTGGTGAACAAACAATCCAGAAATATGCGCAGGCAGTAAATGAATATGACAGTTGCTAGAGGCGCCAAAGCCAACAGACGCTACCAGAAATGTAGTTTGTCGTTGATGAAAGTAGTCGGACACGATAAGTTGGTTATATACAAGTATAATTGTTCCTCTTAGTGTCTTGCTGGAACTGTCTTACTGAAACTGAAGTAGCTGGCTAAACTTACTGTATTGAAATATCCTGAAAAACTGTTGCATGTATCTTCATCAGCATCATATTCATGCAGCAACTCCTTGATCGTTCCCATCACAGCACGGCTGAAATAAACTCGCTCATTAGCCCTCACTTTCACTAAAGCTATGATCCAGATGACGTTCAATAGTATGCAGTCACACCCAATGAATGATGAATGCAACATTAGATTATTCGGCATTGGGACAGTGTATTACATTCAGACTAAAGCCAGGGCGCAACAGACTTCGTCAACATATGCTCAGACTTTTCGGTGTAGGAAACGCTGAGACGTGTCCCTGTACCTTGGTATAAGAAAATGCTGAGAATGTGCTTCAACACAGTCAATTGTATGCTGCCAACAGAGTTGTAATCTGGCCTGTTCCAAGCGCAATCAAGTCAACACTTTTTGCTACATGAGGAGATATGGACTGCACGATAGCTTTCATAAAGGCTACTGGCTTCCTGATATAAGTTTTCTGACAGAAGGATCTAAAAAGAAGAAGAAGGCATTGGAGCGTCTCAGACGTAGCAGCTTTGTCGATCGGGGGGGGGGGGGAGACTTAAATGACCCTATCGAGCAGATCTGCCCATGAGAACAACACCGATAAAACCTACCCTATACCCTGTACCTTTTTAGCAAGTCAGCGATACAATACAGGTAACGACTTCAGTCAATGGATAGGGCTAGAGATGTCCCATGACCTTCAAAAAAAATCAGAAGGTTACATCAAACTGTTGTTGTCGTTACGGTGCAGTAAACCTTTGGATAACAAACAGTCTAGAGCAGATAAACTTATCGATCCGTTGATCAGTTAGAGCTGCGATAGCCCAGTGGCCCAAATGTTTTGAATTCGAAAGAGTGTCGACGGATTACTGTAAACTGACTTTGGCTGTCAGGTCGCTCAGCCTAGAATAGGTATGAAAGCGTGTCCTGTAAAGCAGAGGAACACGTAACGTTATCCTCCCCAGGCCCCGTCCATATACATACTAGCACACTTCTGATTGGTAGTTCTTTTTCCTGTCAGCTTAGAAACTATATACATAAACTCGATAAAATCCTAAACCGAAAACTATATTAGTAGCCTATATTGCTACTGTTCAAGCTTGATCTATTAATTTCAAAACGATGTCTATTCTACTGGGGGGTTTTTTTTTCCTTCTCACTGGCATTGCTAAGGCGAATGGGCGTCGTTTGGTGCAACAAAGCCTGGTATATAATATGACAACGTCTAGTTTGAGAATAGAGGTGAAGGCGGTCACTGCTGCCTTCCCTGGCTTGAGAATCAGCTGTACACACATGGCGTAATTGAAATTGACTCACAGAACATGCTGAGAAAGGTGGAGACAGGCATGCTCCGTACAGAGTGGAAAGCATCACTTTAAAGGTCTCAAAGGTTAGCATCCTTTGGATATTTTCTCCCGGTGGTGCCGGTGTTTTGGAAAATGAGCAGGCAGACTGGCCGGTTCTGCGCCAATTGGTATGACAAGCTAGATGTTCTGAGGAGGTGAACAGTGCCGAGGCACAGATAGATCACTACGGTCTGAGGAGAGTGGCACTGTTAGGAGTTACAATGGGATCTAGCCGACGCTCGTCACTCAGGGGAAAGGCGAGGCGGATTTTTAATCAGACAGTTACTGGTACCATCGGACTAACTTTTCGCTTGCTGCTGAAGATGGGGATGGAGCACTTATAATGGTATCCCGAGGGCTGTGATGTCGATTCTTAATTCAACATTCAACATTTGTTTTTGTTTTTCTGCACAAACAGTGTACTAAATCGCATGACCTACAAGGCATCACTAACAAAAATTCTTATCGTGTGTCAGGTAAATAATACAGCGTGAATCCATTACGGACAGAATTCATTTCAAAACATTGACACGGCAATATATGTTACAGAAATGTATCTTCACCCAGCATACGTAAAATAATAACCAACACAGAATTGGTGACATAAGCCACTACACGCCGAGGGAGATACCGAAGAGGGGGTTTTAGCACTTAGGGACTGAATAGTTCGATATGCGATGATGATAATCAATCGACTAACTAACTAACTAACTGATTAAGTTACTATTTCAAATAACAAACAGGACAATAAGGGGATGGTAGAGTGGTTGAAAAAATGACTAACAATGGTTGTGAATAAGTAATGGCAGATTATATATATATATATATATATATATATATATATATATATATATATATATATATATATATATATATATATTATATATATTTGGCGGTACGCAACGAAATACAGTAGCGGCACCACTTTTCTAGGCATACTTTTTTCAGCATTACTGCAATAATAAACTCTCTGTGAGTACCGGCACCTATTTAAGACATTTAACGGCGAGTACAGGCACCTTTTTGTTTATGCGGGGGGGGGGGGGGGGGGGGGGAGCGTTAATGGATGATGGGTAATGAATGACGACTGGTTGTAATTGGATTCAGAAAAAGCATAGGACCCTTACCACGCCTTTATCACCGACCCTAAACCTGCTGACAAGTGTCTAGTCTCCACACTACCGCCGCTGCTAGTAAAATATAAAATAAAGGACCTGTTTCCACGTCTTTAAACATATTGGGCATATAGGGCTAGACCTGCCTATATTTTATAACCAATCGGCATGTGACAGGCGATGTGGTCAGCGTTACACCGGCATAGAGAAGAAATGAACAAGAAATACAGTGGAAAAAGAAAGAAAAATAGTTAATTAAGAGAAAGGGCAGCTGAAGGCAAACATAATTTTTGATAAATAACCGTGAAAATAATCTACCGAGAATGTTGGACAATGAGAGACAAGCTAGCAGACGAAGTACGACACTTTTACGACAACCGTATTTCAGTTGCCGCCATCATCCCCAAACTGATCTTCCTGTGTCCTCACGAAAGTAAAATTCTACGCTTCAAGACGACTTGTGCGGCCTGCTTCTGTTTACCAGAGAAACTTAGGTTAGTAACGGCTGCAAGATTTAACTTTCACTTCCAGTAATCTCAACGGTTATTGTTTGGCATAAATAAATATTGATTTTACAAAAGGTGATTGCTGAAAAAGTTGTTTTTAGGATGACCTCCCCAAATCATCATCGTCCGTTGAACCGGTTACTCGGTTTTAGAGTTTTAGTTTTACAGTTAAATTGTTTCTTCTAACATAACGTTACTTTTAACTGCCGTTAACTTCACCCTTTTGGGATCATAATAATATAAAACTGAAAATGTACTTTACTCAATTTTGTCGAACTATATTACGGGTGTGATAACTCGATAAATACAACAACGACAAATCCCTGAGCTAGCTGCTGAACTTCAGCCTGAAGATTAGACTTAGAATGGAGGGTTTGTGGCTGTGGGACTGGCCAGAGTGCATAACGCTCTACCGCCGAAATATAACAGTGGTACACTCCTTCCCCTCCCCGACAGGGATACAGTAAAATGAACACAATTTAAAAAAAAAAACTCACTATTATTTGTATGTACGTTTTTTTGGCTCTCCTTTAAAAAAACGATCGCTAGCTGGAAAGCCGACGGTTGCTTAGTGGGAGTTCACTCCCTTAGTTGCAGTGCAAATACAGACCGTAAAGCGGGAACGAAACAAATGACATACTTACCTATCATCGTAGGGGTAGGGTTAGGGTAGGGTTAGATGTGAAAATTGTGACGCAGGAGTTCCACATAATGACCGACAATCTGATGCTTGTGGAAGTGGCGCCACTGGAGTTCTCCTAAATATGACGGCAATAGTGCGCGGCTGGTGCCCAATTGATTGCGAATTGTCCGTGTGAGTAGCATCCACAGTCCTTCAATTGTTTGGGTGTGTATGTCACTGTGCGCGATTAGTTGGAACTCCTGCATCAAATTTGTCACATCTAACCCTACCCCTAACCACGCAAATGTATCGGTCATTAAGGCATACAGATCTGCAGGAGTCACATCCGTGGCAACTAATTGCACCATTATATAAGGATATATTTACTTTTAAAAAAAAAACCAGATTCCCCGAGGAGTCAAATAAACACCCCGATCTGGGGGAAACACCCAAGCATTGGCAGCCCTGATGTCGACCTCACTGTCTGTTTTGATTCGTGACTTGTCCGCTCCGTATTTGCAATGCAGCCAAGGGAGTGAACTCCCACTAAGCAACTGTTGGCTTTCCAGCTAGCGATCGGTATTTAAAGGAGAGGCTTTTTTTTTTATGTACTATCTGTATTTATAGTTTTTTTTTCAGTTTAGGGCAATGTAAGTAGGGGGGGGGGGGGGCAGTGAGCTTGAGGATTTAGGGGCCACATGGCCAGTGTCGAACTCAGGCCTTCTGTATGAGATTCAGATGTTGTCACCACTCGATTAGCTGCTTAGGCAATAAATTAATGATAACAGGGGTGACTAGTCAAGCTGGTATCACAAAATTAATCCACTGAACTCTGATTAAGATAACTGAATTGGGGTGGGGGGGGGGGGGGACCCCACACACACATGTAAAAACAGACGGAAGTCATAGTTTAGTGGCTTAAATTGCGCACTGTACATTTCGTAGCCTTGTCCTGTTTTCGGTCCATGTCTGGCGTGACTACAAAAAGTCAATATGATCTTCTTTGTTTTCTTCCACAGAGACAATTTGGTCTAGTGAGTGTGAAATTGTAACATCTCCAGTGCTTCATTGAGCTGCTGAAACTAGTTTTGCCGGAGAGTCGTCAGAATTTGGCAGTTATTTGCCAGGATGGCTTTAGGATTCGCTAAGTAAGTGACATTTTTATTTCTAACATTATTTGAATTTCAGCATATGCTAGGGAAAGATGGAGAAGGACAGAATAGAAGAGAAAAATGAAAAGTTCATTAAGGATGAATAGAGAAGTGGGACTAATTGGTAAAAACATGGAATGAAAGATGAATGTGTGTGTGTGAAAATAAAGGCCAAAAGAAACAGATGATTGGCACCTTTCTCTCTTTCGAGATGATAGTGTTATATTGAGCTCTAAAGAGGCATGTGACCCATAGCCTATAGCGATGATGAGTGTGACTGACAAGACCTGCCCGCATCTTCCACAATTATAGCATGGGGTTTAAGGACCGTTGTTGTCAACATTTGCGTTTAGTCTGTTTCTTCTCAGACACTCAGCTCTCAGCTATCCCTGGGATAAATGTTGTTGAGAGAGGCTGTTAAATAGTAGGGCTTGAAGGAACTTCTGAATCAGATATAATTGGAAGTCTACATGGCACAAAGCTCTGGACAGACAAGATGACTTCTGCCACACAGCATGAACTTGAACTCTTTCGGTACCATAGTGTTTAATGGGAAATATATGAAGATGGTTATGTGATAGAATCACTGATGTTGAGCTTTGGAAAAGTTCCAGTGGACCAAAAGGTGAAGATAAGATGCTGCCTTTGGATAGGACACATGTTGAGAAAACCTAGGAAGAATACAACTCGTATGTCTTTACACTGGAACCCACAAGGGCATATAAATTAAGGAAGACCCAAACCAAAAAAATATACATTGAGAATGGAGCTGAAGAGTGAAGTTAAAAAAATTGGGAAGGACATGGGACGAGCTGCATGCAATAGCAAAGGATATGACGACTTGGCATGAGTTGATTGAGGACCTAGGCTCCATTGGGGTATGCAAGGCAGAAGAAGATGTGAAGTAAAGAAAAGGCTGTGATGAAAATTATGAATTAATTACATTCAAAGTGGCAACATAAACAGCCATAGTGACCATTTGGGGAAGCCAGATTTCTTTAGCATGTTTTGACCAACTTTAAAGAAACAATAAGAGGGCACATTATGTTGGGGAGAGAAATCAAGGAGTCAAGTTATTTACACACCAGATGCTACTGGGGGATGAAAGAGCTGACAAGTAGATATTTGCTTGCTTGCTTTGGTATGTTTGCTTTTTTCTGTCAACATTCTCAGCCCTTGAGATTCATAGCTGCAGATTTCAGCCACCTCCATTCATCACTCTGATTCACCTTTTCTTTCCGGTTGGTAATTCAAAGTTTGGTACACGTAATGTTAGTCTCCCCACGATCCGCCCATATACACACTAGCTCACCTCTGATTGGTAGTTCCTGAACCTGTCACCTTGGCACAAGGTTACGAAGGTGTTCCGCAGTGCGTTGATATCGCATGTTGTTGTATATTTCAGCACGCCAGTGCTTTTAACACTCCAAAAACATGGAAAAACGGGCCCTAACACAGAATTCTAGAAAGTGCTGCAATCTGTGTCACAGGCATTCTCTTTCTCAGAATGAAAAAGTAAATGCATAACAACACAAAAAGCAAACAATAGAGTGGGACACATCTGTAACTTTTAGGAAAGTCAAGGAGCTCAACAAACTTGTGAATGAAAAGTGACCTACTTTGTTTGGGGAGATTTACGTGAACCTAACCGTACTTTGTTTTCTGATATTTCAACGATTAAAAAAAAAACAATTGGGTGCAAAACAAAAAAGCTTAAGTTTTTATAGATCTAAATGGACATTATATTTCCACCATCTCTTAGGTCTGCCGCAGGGTCTAAATCCGTTCACTCTTTTGTGTATTGCAGTTTTTGTCTCTGTGTGGTTTATTTTTTTTGCCATTCTCTCTATATGTGGCATATTTACCTGCGTGATGTCAGTCATTTATGGTGATTTAAATTTAAACAAAGTTTGCTTCTCTCTCGCCGTTTGTCATTGTTTGTATCTTTGATGAATGCAAAGATTTGTCCTAAGTATATTCTCAAACATTTGTTACAAGGCCTCATCATCTCTTTTAGTTTTACTGCAGGTTTCAGAGCCAGTTAGGACAGACTTTTTTTTTTTTTTCAGTGTTTTTGTATGTTGGGATCTCAGTGTTAAGAGAGAACACTTGATTATCATTTTGAATGTTTGTAACAAGCAACAGAATCAGTGGAGAAACAAGATTATTATGGCCTGGAGAGAATGAGGCACCTGGGTGTAACCAGAGAGACTGGCCAGCTCACCACACTAAGAGGAAAGGCAAGACGGACATCTAATCAGATTGTGACCGGTACCATCAGTATTGGAACTCTGCGCTGGCTGCTGAAGATGAAGACGGAGCATGCATGGGAATGCCTCAAGTGCTGTGATGTCAATTCTTGACTCAACTCAACTCGACTCTGAATGTTTGACTTTTCCACTAATTTACTAAACAGATATGCAGCCACAATTTCGTTAGCTGGAGGGGCGATTTACTGGTCAGTTCAACAAGGAATTTGGGGCTCCACCAAAGAAGGTTCAGAAGCAGGCAAAAAACTGACAAAAACTATTGCACCAGCCACAAGTGAATATGTTGAAAAGGTAAATTGTTGTTTTCTTATTGAAGTTGTCCCCTCGTGGGATGCCAATTTTTGTTATTTTGAAGCCCCATCCTGGCTTTTGCCGGGGGCCCTGAATATAGCCAGGCCGTAAATATGGCCTAACGGCTCAAGGGGGTTTCTGGGACCTCTCCACTTTGTGTCATCGGGTGTTTATCGCTTGTGTGATGTCTTGGTGGGGTACAACTACCTACCTACCTTTTTTTATTTTTTTTATTATTATTATTATTGGTTAGCATCTTTCCCTCTTTCCAGACAGCTATGTTATCACAATTAACGTCTTTGCATAGTCATCCCCATGTGTGCTCAGTCCTCTGATGCAGCAGCCACTCCAAGGTACTTCTACTGATTGTTTCCGTGAGGAGTTGGTTATAATATTTCCTGTCTTTATCTCCAAGATGGCAGAGTCATCTTCACCAAGCTTAACTGGTGCTTGCTTGCCAACATGTTATATTGTGCTGAAGGGAGGCATGAGAATCACAGGTACAAATCCTCTTCGTAGCACAAATCCTGGGCAGTATTGTATGTCATACACCATGGTCTTCTCATGGCCCACGTTGATTATTCCAAAGAAAAGAGAACCCTAGTGTGTTTTGAAGGAAGCGCACTGCTGGATCAGATGAACAGTGCTCTATCTGTCTGCAGAGATACCCTCCCTGACCAGCTACCAGCCAAGGTTAAGGGTATGATCTGCACTGCCATAACAGATTGTTTGATTGATTGACGTTTAACTCCACCAGGGCATCACACTGAGTGTTTGATTGATTGATGTTTAACCCCACCAGGGCATCACACTGAGTGTTTGATTGATTGACGTTTAACCCCACCAGGGCATCACACTGAGTGTTTGATTGATTGACGTTTAACCCCACCAGGGCATCACACCAAGTCTTTGATTGATTGACGTTTAACCCCACCAGGGCATCACACCTAGTGTTTGATTGATTGACGTTTAACCCCACCAGGGCATCACACTGAGTGTTTGATTGATTGACGTTTAACCCCACCAGGGCATCACACCAAGTGTTCGATTGATTGACGTTTATCCCCACCAGGGCATCACACTGAGTGTTTGATTGATTGACGTTTAACCCCACTAGGGCATCACACTGTGTGTTTGATTTATTGACGTTTAACCCCACAAGGGCATCACACTGAGTGTTTGATTGATTGACGTTTAACCCCACCAGGGCATCACACAGAGTGTTTGATTGATTGACGTTTATCCCCACCAGGGCATCACACCGAGTGTTTGATTGATTGACGTTTAACTCCACCAGGACATCACACCGAGCGATAAACACCCGATGAGACAAAGGTGCCACCATTCGGATGAGGATCACCCAAGGACATGTCCCAGAATCCCCATTCAACCCATAGGTTGGGTTTTATTAGGGCCCCTGGCAACAGCCAGGGTAGGGCTTTAAAACAAAAAAAAATTGGGTCAAGCATTGTGATGCAGTGACAGTTTGCAGTTTTCTTCCCTATTGCATTTATCTGATTGCAGCATCGCTTTGGTCCTTTCTGACCAGGACTGCAGGTGACACCTGACTGGGGTGGCCAGTACTGGTGCCCTAGTTGTCACTTCTTTGGAGGTTGCACAGGGTATCTGGGATCTGCCATGTTGGCCTGCCATCCAGATTGTGATGTTTTAATTTCAGAATGGTACAGTTGATCTTTAGCTAATAGCTGGTAGTGGACGGATCGATCGATGAGTATTTCTTTTACAGCTTTGTTTTAGCAGAAGAGGAGTGTCTAGGCTCTGTAGCTTAGATGTGGTCGGTAGTCTGCCATCCAGACTCGAGATGTTTTAACTTCAGAATGGTACGGTAGACCTTTAGCTAATAGCCGGGAGTGGGCGGATTGATCGATGAGTTTTTCTTTCACAGCTTTGCTCAAGCAGAACAGGCATGTCTAGGCTCTGTGGCCTAGAGGTCAGTTTCGTGATCCTCAGGTACTAGCATTTTATTTCTGCAGCGGGCGGTTTTTAGAAGTCTTTCTTGTGGTTTTCGATGACCGTTTCAGAGTTGCAGCATGGAAGAGGTTGGGGCCTCACCGCGTAATATCTCGAAGGTTTCCACGGTGAAGTGGTCAAGCCGTTTAGTTCACAGGTGCAATTTTTATAGAGATCCCAGGTGATCGTTGCTGGAGCTACGGAGGTCATACTCCGTGTGTCGCTCTCGGCAGGCAGCTAGCTTGTTCTGCCGAGAGAGGCTGAGCCATATTGGATAAAACCCGGTGCAATGAAGTCAGTCTTCTCACCTTTGCCTTTTAATACTCCCAGAGACAGCAGTAAGTACATTGTAGCCAACATTCACTGTGGAGACAGCACAGGATTCATTCATTTACGGATGTGTTTCTTTGACTGTCTTTGCAGATTCCATCAGTGAAGGACGTCAAAACATTTGTGAGAACAAACTGGAACACAGGTGGGTAAACACGTATACAGCGGCTTTGTTTTTCTGTTGGTAATAACTGCAGGTCTTTGTGATGGTTTTAGGACTCCATTTTTTTTGGGGGGGGGGGGGACAAGAATAGACCCACTGCTCCCAGCAAGCATGTCATAAAGGCTAATTACCGGTGTTTCCTTCAAAGCCTGAATGTATCTTCATGAGAGGCTAGGAACCAACAGTCTACACATAAATAAGTCAGATGTGTAAAACATATGTGCTTGTAAAATTGAGTTTCTGATACAAGACTCCTCTGGAAGTGAACAAAGAGCCAGAACTTACTGTTAAGAGTTTACAGGAGGTGAACAAAAAGAAGAAGAAGAAGAAGAAGATAGCTGCAGTAGTGGGAGACTTACGTTCAGAAGGATGCATAGAGGCTGACCCTGGTCCAGGGCTCGACCTGTCTGCACGTCTCCAAGGTCATCCGAGACACCAAGCTACCATTTGGGCGCCAGGTCAGTGTGAATAGGGTCATTTCTTTAGAAGTCACGGCCTGCATCTGCATAAGAGGTGAGGAACCAATAGTCTGCACATAAATCTAAAACTGATGTGGACACAAAACTTAACCTTTTGGACAGGGCCAAAGTCCAGAAGTGGACGTACAATCAGAGCTTTCTGCCAGAGTTTACAGCTGGTGAACTGGAAGAAGAAGACATTCTTAATGAGTTGATAGTCATTTTTCTGTAAGGGGGGGGGAAGGGGGGGGGGGGATAGTAAAATCCTGTACTGTTGCTTTGTTTTATGCTGGTAACCACTGCAGTGGTGGTCGAGTGGCTAGATTGCTGTCCTGTCCTTTGAGGGACCCAGGTTCAGATTCTTTATTGGGTTAAATAAATGTTACTATCAGAGACACGTACACAAGTCTTACCTGCACAGTTGATTTGTTTTCTACTGGTACAACTGCAAGAGTGGTCAGAATACTGGCTCCTTATTTGAGAGACCCAAGGTCAAATTCCTCATATGGGTTATGGGGCGCGATTTGGAGGTGAGAAACCAACATTCCGCATACAAGTAAGCCAGAAACCCTTTCCTTCCAATAAAGCATGTCGCAGAAGAAATGACTAATGAGGTATGTTGCCTTCAGAATTGAAGCACCTCTGCCTGAGAGATGAGGAACCAACAATCTGCATACAAAAAAGCCAAATTTAAAAATAAATGGATGGCAGGCAACTCTCAGATTCTAGAACAGGATTGCAGTCCAGAAGTCGACGAACAACCAGAAATTTCCACTGGAGTTTATACTGGAGAATGCAAGAAAAGAAAAGAAAGGTTCTTTCGTAATATCCAACCCCAGATGACGCCACAGGACAGTCCAACATTTTAGAGGGTGGTAAGACTGGGTTTCCCGGCTTTTTGATGCTTTTAATGACCCCAGAACATCTAGAACTGGCTCTTACCCCAACCCACCTAGTACTACGAGAGAGTGCAGCCTATGTCCCACAACTGCATGCAGCCTACGTCCCATGACTACATGCAGCCTATCTACCACCCTCTGAAATATTAGACTGTCCCGTGACCTGTGGATTTTTCCTGTTTGGTGAAGGATATTAAGAAGAAATCTCCATAAGGTGATATTTTTCTGTCGGGGGCAAACATTTGTTTTTCTTATGGCAGCAACTACTATAGTGACTAGTTCAGCAGTTAGAACACTAGGAGACCTAGGTTCAAATCCTCTGTTAGGTAATGGACATTTTTCTATAGGCATAAAATAGCAACCTAACCTCTATGGTTTGTGGGGACGACACTAGCCATGTAGCTCCCCTTCTTCACGTTCACTGGCTGTAGCTCTGGCATAGAGTCCTGGTTGTTGGTCCACTTCTGGATGTTGGTTTTATTTCAGAGTTTTTGCATGCACATCTGTTTTACAGATCTGGCTTATTTGTGTGTGGACTGTTGGTTTCTCACCAAATAGGCAGAGGTACTATGACATTAAAGGAGAAACCATAATTGGTTATTTTTATGGCATGATTTGGGGGGAGGGGGGGGGCAGTGGGTTTGTTCTGTTTTCCTCCAACATAGAGTTCCAGAACCGACACATCGAATGCAGTCCTAAATCCTCAAACTGTCCCACCCACCCACTCACCCAGTCTACGCTACCCTAAAAATTGGTAAAATAAGGAACCTTAATGAATTTGTATCATTGTCCTTCGCCTCAAGATCAATCCGGCCTCCCATGGATGCCACTAGTCATCCTGAGAAGTATAGATAGCTGATGCCAAACTGTCCGACATTTCTCTTATGCTATGATGCCAGTCCATCTTCTCTTGTGCCATGATGCCAGACTGTCCAGCATCTTCTCTTGTGCTATAATGCCAGACTGTCCAACATCTTCTCTTGTGCCATGATGCCAGACTGTCCAGCATCTTCTCTTGTGCCATGATGCCAGACTGTCCAGCATCTTCTCTTGTGCTATAATGCCAGACTGTCCAACATCTTCTCTTGTGCCATGATGCCAGACTGTCCAACATCTTCTCTTGTGCCATGATGCCAGACTGTCCAGCATCTTCTCTTGTGCCATGATGCCAGACTGTCCAGCATCTTCTCTTGTGCCATGATGCCAGACTGCCCAACATCTTCTCTTGTGCCATGATGCCAGACTGTCCAACATCTTCTCTTGTGCCATGATGCCAGACTGTCCAACATCTTCTCTCATGCCATGATGCCAGACTGTCCAACATCTTCTCTCATGCCATGATGCCAGACTGTCCAACATCTTCTCTTGTGCCATGATGCCAGACTGTCCAACATCTTCTCTTGTGCCATGATGCCAGACTGTCCAACATCTTCTCTTGTGCCATGATGCCAGACTGTCCAACATCTTCTCTTGTGCCATGATGCCAGACTGTCCAACATCTTCTCTTGTGCCATGATGCCAGACTGTCCAACATCTTCTCTTGTGCCATGATGCCAGACTGTCCAACATCTTCTCTTGTGCCATGATGCCAGACTGTCCAACATCTTCTCTTGTGCTATAATGCCAGACTGTCCAACATCTTCTCTTGTGCCATGATGCCAGACTGTCCAGCATCTTCTCTTGTGCCATGATGCCAGACTGTCCAACATCTTCTCTTGTGCCATGATGCCAGACTGTCCAACATCTTCTCTTGTGCCATGATGCCAGACTGTCCAACATCTTCTCTTGTGCCATGATGCCAGACTGTCCAACATCTTCTCTTGTGCCATGATGCCAGACTGTCCAGCATCTTCTCTTGTGCCATGATGCCAGACTGTCCAGCATCTTCTCTTGTGCCATGATGCCAGACTGTCCAACATCTTCTCTTGTGCCATGATGCCAGACTGTCCAACATCTTCTCTTGTGCCATGATGCCAGACTGTCCAACATCTTCTCTTGTGCTATGATGCCAGACTGTCCAACATCTTCTCTTGAGCCATGATGCCAGACTGTCCAACATCTTCTCTTGTGCCATGATGCCAGACTGTCCAACATCTTCTCTTGTGCTATGATGCCAGACTGTCCAACATCTTCTCTTGTGCCATGATGCCAGACTGTCCAACATCTTCTCTTGTGCCATGATGCCAGACTGTCCAACATCTTCTCTTGTGCTATGATGCCAGACTGTCCAACATCTTCTCTTGTGCCATGATGCCAGACTGTCCAACATCTTCTCTTGTGCCATGATGCCAGACTGTCCAACATCTTCTCTCATGCCATGATGCCAGACTGTCCAACATCTTCTTTCATGCCATGATGCCAGACTGTCCAACATCTTCTCTCATGCCATGATGTCAGATTATCCAACATCTTCTCTTGTGCCATAATGCCAGACTGTCCAACATCTTCTCTCATGCCATAATGCCAGACTGTCCAACATCTTCTCTCATGCCATGATGCCAGACTGCCCAACATCTTCTCTTGTGCCATGATGCCAGACTGTCCAACATCTTCTCTCATGCCATGATGCCAGACTGTCCAACATCTTCTCTTGTGCCATGATGCCAGACTGTTTAACATCTTCTCTCATGCCATGATGCCAGACTGTTCAACATCTTCTCTCATGCCATGATGCCAGACTGTTCAACATCTTCTCTCATGCCATGATGCCAGAATCTCTGGCGTATTCTCACTTGGTCTCCCCCCTGTCTCTCTTCTCCCCCCCCCCCCCCCCCCCCCCCCCCCCCCCCCCCCCCCCCCCCCCCCCCCCCACCCCCCCCCCCCCCCCCCCCCCCCCCCCCCCCCCCCCCCCCCCCCCCCCCCCCCCCCCCCCCCCCCCCTCATGCTCCAGTTTTCCTTTTCTCATCATCAGAAAGTGTAGATTTATTTCCTTCTGGTGCAGATAAATAGTTTACTACATATTGGAGATTCAGAACTTGACCCATGTGGACAGACATCACTGAATACTAAGTATGTGTTATGGGAATGCTCTCTACATGTAGTAGAGAGATCCCAGGTTTGGCCACTTTGGCCTTCCAGTGGAAAACTAACTTGATAGAACAGTGAAAGACCTGTGTCACACCATAGACTTTATAGAGGCCTGTGTCTTTCTCGTCTGAAAACCACTAGCAAGAAGAATCAGGAGATGGAAAAGATACTGTGATAAGTTGTCTTTATATAGTGTTGCTATATATATTGCTGTTGTACAGATTATTGTGATTGCTACTGTACATATTGTTGCCATGTAAAATATAAAGTTTTGTTTTTAATTTGTCCCTGGCAGGAGTTAAAACATTGTTCACTGCAGCCTCACAGTTACCAGAAGTTGCAGGGGAATACAAAGAAAAGGCTAAAGCAGCCCTTGCAGATAAATCAGGAAACTAGAATCATGCCGTAGTGTTGGACCCCCATCCCCCAGAAAAAGACAGCAAAGCCACAGATGAAACACCGGATAAAGTGACACCTGATAAAGAAACTACCGATAAAGAGAAGAGTAGAGAGGTCACACCAGTACTTAATACAGAAAACAGCGATGAAATACAGTCAGGATTTGGTAAAGAAATAGATACAGAACTTATGCAGAAACAGGATAAACAGAAAAATGGTGAGGGTGGGCAGGAAATTCATGAAGAAAAGAGTAAAGATAAACCCAAGTCGTGCGAGGTTGCTTCAAAGAGATCTCAGTCAGATTTAATAAATATATCTAAACTGAACGAAGCTGGACGTGAGTCTTCCAAGAAAGCCAAGGGCAGCGTCAGAAACAAAAAACAAAGTCGTAAAAATAAAACAAAGAGTAAAGCTACTGTTGCATTGTCGGGGGCATCCAAAGGTGGAAATAAGACAGAATCTGCATCCAGAAAAGATTTACCAAACGTATTACCATCTGAAGGGGATAGATTGGAAAAGGGAACGGAAATTAACTTTCTGCCCAGATCTCCAGCTTCCAAACCTGTTTCTGAGTCTGAAAAGGCCCAAAGTTCTCTTGTTAACGAGGGGACCACTGAGGCACCTATAAATTTGTCTTCCAATGAAAGATCTTCCTCGGGAGGTTTGGGTTGCAGAATGGGATTGTTGTGTCCAATGAAGCCAACAGTCATTGTCCCAACTAACACATTTCCCAGGAAAAATCAGAGGCTGACCTCCAACAGACGATCCAGCCCAGCAAGGAAAAACAGAAGCAGTGTTTTGGAACATCGGTATCTTGGGTCGGTGAGTAGGTTAGGAACACTAGCCCAGTGCTCAAATCAGCAGGTTTTAACTCTGGAAGGCAGCTGTGTAAATACCGACCTGACAACACCACCTGGTTCAGCTTGCTTTTTTTATGAAGATCCTTCAGAGGTGCAGATGAACTTCCATTGTCCAAAGTCTGAAGATGCTGATGTGGTAACCGGGCCTACAGAGTATTCTGCAAGTTCTCTGCCTCCAGCTGGTGGTGGCACAGATGGTCAACAAGTGATCCATGGAAATAATGAAGAACCATCTAAACCGGCTGAAACAAGAGACCTAGATGAGATGAGTACTCCAGTTCCTGTGTGTGGACAGTCTAATGTTTATCAGATTCGGCCGCTTAGTGTTAGTTTTGAAGACCCTTTTAGCCACCCTGTTCAGGAATCTGCTAATAAGGTTATCTCCTCAACACAGCTAGTTGGCGTAGAAAGTACAGAAGAAGCACTTGATGGATGCAGGTCTTTTGATTCAGGCAATCTGCATCAGTCTTCCCTAGGTGTGGATATGCCTTCACCCAAGAATGATGCCTCTAATCTGGTACCTGAGGATCAGCAGAGGATGCCAGATCTGGCTAGAGTAACATCTGGAGAACCACAACAATCCTCCAGCCATGCATTTGGCAGTGAACCTGGAATCACCTGCAGCTCTCAGGAACACCCTTCTACACCTGGGCAGTCTTTGTCATCACCACCACGAGCTGTCATTAAAAATCTGGAAACTTTAAACTCGTCTTTTAGAGGACAACCTGAATCTGCAACTCAGATATTCAAATTTGCAGAAGAGAACAAAGAGTGTTCGGCTAATAATCTCAGAGCTGATGCAGAAAAGGATAGTGGTCACAGAGAAAAGTTCAAATCTCCAACATTCTGCCTTGCTGAGGAGAGGCCCACATCTCCAGATTTTTACCCCACCGAGGAGAGGTCTATTTCTCCAGCTTCTTACACGGAAGGAGAGAGACCAGCATTTTATTCTGTTGGAGGCAGGCCCACATCTCCAGCTTCTTATATTTCTGTAAAGAGGTCTACCTCTCCAAAATCCTGCATAGCCGAAGATGAACCTGCATACATTGCAGAAGAAAAGTCCAATTCACCTTCATCCTACTGTTCAGAAAAGAGGTCCATATCTCCTTTATTCTACATTTCAGAGAAGAGGCCCTCATCTCCGGCATCCTACATTGCTGGAGAGGTACCTATCTCCCTCGCCTCCTACATTGCTGAAGATAGGCCAAAATCTCCAGCATCTTACGTTTCAGAAATAAAGCCCAACTCTTCAGAATTCTGCATAACTGAAGACAGACCCAGATCTCCAGCAGCTTCTGTTGCTGCAGACAGGTCCAAATCTCCAGCAGCCTGCGTTGACGAAGAAAGGTCCAGATCTCCATTCTGCTTTACTGAAGAGAGGCCCCCTTCTGCAGCTGCTGACAATACTGGAGAAGACTCAGCATTTCCAGTAGAGACTTTTGCCAAAGGAGATACACCCATGTCCCCTATGGAACCATCCAGCTATAATGTTGAAACTGCAGACCACGTGATACAGGCTGCAGACCACGTGATACAGGCTGCAGACCACGTGATACAGGCTGCAGATGGTAATGGGCAGCCCTTATCCCCCAAATCTTCAGTGTCCAACATTACTGGAGGAAATCCAACATCTCTGACGGTATCGTACAACAAAGATGAAGATAATGCAACATCTCCTGGGGAAACATCCAACATTGGTGGGAAAAATGTAAACACTTATTTGAAATCACCAAATGATGAAGAAAATCTTTCAACAACTACAACCTCATCATCCAACATATCTAGAGAAAATCCAGCACTTCCTGCAGGGACAATCAGCAGTTATGAAGATAAACAATCGTATATAGAAACACCTGGCTTTAACATGAAGACCTTGTCAAGACCATCTCATGATAAAGAACAGCTCCTCTCAGCAACCGAAAGTGTGAACTGTCTGTCAAAGTCCTACATTGGTAGCAAAACCCACAGACCAACAGAACAGATCTTTCTAACGCAGGCCGCAAGAGAGAAGCTGATGTCCTCAGCACAGATTTCTGACATTGGCCAAGGAGAGGCGTCAGGTGACAGTCATCTCTCCAATGCAGCAGTTGAGACGGTGCCTGGCGTCGAAAAGTCTCTGCCGCCAAATAAACCACCCTTGGTTTTTGAGAAAAGAGTAGATAATGCAACTCGAAAACCAGCCTCGCTTGTAGTTTCAGTAGGCAGAGCCAAGTCTGTAGCCCAAATTAGACCCCAACCCACATCCCGGGAAGCTTTTAGTTCAGGCTCTCAAAGTCCTTACAACGGAGCTAAAGGAGAAGCAGTAGAAAGTCTACTAGGGCCAACATTTTTGAAGCCAACTGAGATCTACAGGGGCTGGTCGAGCATGGTTGTCCAGAATTCCGAACAGTATCCCAGAGATACTGCTAGATCAGGAAGTCCAACAAAAGTTGGTGTTGCAGCTCCTCTTACTGATATCAGATACCTGAAATATGAAACATTTCCAGGAAAAAGACAATCAAAGAATGAGGAATTTCTGGAGGACATGCGTTCACAGCTTCCAGATTTCTGGGTGAAGTATACCATGCCGGAAGATCATCACAAGTCGAAGAGATCTCACCGCAGCAGGCTGGGTGGGAGTAAGCATCCAAATGACAAAACCCAGCGGCAAGTATACTGGTAAAAGAGCACCCCATCATTTCACTGTTTCGGTGTCAGAAGCTTTGGCTCCTGATGTTCATGGGAGAAAATAATTAATATGATACATCTGGGACAGAGGCTAAATTTACAGTGCAGTGTGGCAACTTGGATAGCCAGGTATGCTTAGTATGCTGTGACCAAATGTAACAAATTAGAGAACACATTGTGCAATGAAATTTAAGGAAATGGAATAATATTGTTCATATAAGAAACAAATTAACCTTTTCATGCAGTTTTTATTTTAGTAAAATGCTTTACATCCTAAAGACTTAATATGGGGGCCTGAATGACTTAAACAGCTTGGGCAGAAAGTTCTTCCTTTTCAGGATTGCAGTCCAAAGGGTTAACATCTCATGAATGAGAATCAAACAGGTCCTTAAAACCTCATCCAGCTGGGACAAATTTTTTTTTTTTTTTTAAATAATAAATATAGATAGGTAAAAGCAGTTTTCTAAACTGCAGACATAACAGAATCCGAGAGCGTTTAGGTCTTCGCTGTATTAACCGTTCAAAACATGGTACATTGTGTGTTCTTACGTTTCACGTTTGGTCAGAGCTTGCTGAAAATAATCTGGCTTTCCCAGTAGCTGCAATATAATAAGAAAACTCCACAGGAGAGCAATCACAGCAGGAGTCTACCGGTCATCAGTAGTAGATCCTCCATCGACAATTGTTTCGTTCCGTTACCATCTTAAACAATCTCGGAAGGTGGGCCAGCCTGGATCATGACGCCAGGCCCCAGTGTCGCCTGCTGCGCTTAATTGCATAATTTATAACTGTGGAGACAGTTCAGTAGAAGTCTAGTCATAGTAATGTACAGGTTAAACAGTGTTAACAGTCGATGGCACATCAACAATTATTGTTAACAGTCGATGGCACATCAACAATTATTGTTAACAGTTGATGGCACATCAACAATTATTGTTAAATCGATGGCACATCAATTATTGTTAACAGTCTATGGCACATCAACAATTATTGTTAACAGTCTATGGCACATCAACAATTATTGTTAACAGTTGATGGCACATCAACAATTATTGTTAAGTCGATGGCACATCAACAATTATTGTTAACAGTCTATGGCACATCAACAATTATTGTTAACAGTCTATGGCACATCAACAATTATTGTTAACAGTCTATGGCACATCAACAATTATTGTTAACAGTCTATGGCACATCAACAATTATTGTTAACAGTCTATGGCACATCAACAATTATTGTTAACAGTCTATGGCACATCAACAATTATTCAAAAGTACAATTTCCTGCATCTTTTCTGTGTAGGAGGTAAGCCATGAACCAGTTTGCAATCACTGGGGGAAAAAAGCAAGAAAATCTGGGTTTTTTAAACTGAAATGTTAAATGAAAATTCTTAGAATGATATAGACCCAGAAGAAAAATGATAATATTTACAAATCTTGAAGAAAACAGAAGACTGGTTCATAAATGGT